CACCTTCAGTGTGGGGGTGGACACCATCTAATAGGCTGCCAGCAAGGCTAGAACAAAGCAGGCAGAAGAACTGGGATAGACAGGTTGCTTGCTGAGTTGGCTTGCTCTCTTTCTTTCCCTGCCATGTCACATACTCAGCTTCCTCTCCTCCTGGCCTTGGATATCAGACTCCAGGTTCTTCAGCATTTGGACTTGAAGCAGCAGCATATCAAGGGTTCTCAGGCCTTCAGTCTCAGACTGAATGCTGCACTGTTGACTTCCGTGGTTTCGAGGCTTTTGGAATTGGACTGAGCAATGCTACCAGCTTCTCTTTCCCCAGCTGGCAGATGACCTACTGTGGAATTTCCCCTTGTAATCCTATAAGCCAATTCTCCCTAACAAACTTATCTTATTGGTTTTGTCCCTCTGGAGAACCCTGACGAATAGAGTTAGTATTAAAATAAAGTTTACAAACATGCAAAATCATACAGTATGTTGATGAAGATAGAGCTACATATGGTGGAGCTATAAAGAAGAACAAGGAAATGATACATACAAAATCCAGGACAGAAGTTACCTCCGGGATGGTTGGTGGGAGCAGACGATGTGAAAATGGCAAGTCAGATGGAGGGCTTGACTACTAATATTTACTATGTATTTCTTAGAGTGGTTGGTGTGTATACTCATGTTCGTTTTACTACTATCTTTCATATTATATATGTTTCATAACATTTTGTAGAATGTGTGAGTATATGAATTCTAAATCTAAATCCCAGTTCTGGCCACAACAACGTATCAATATCACAAGGGAGGGCTTCCAAATTCCCAGCTAGGGTCAATGCATTTTTTTCATTGTCAACATATTAGTGCAATCTATTTTGCATATCCAAATGCCTACAGTTCAACAGAGAGGGGCCATAAAGCTCATCTATAAAAGAATCAACACAATAGTGGTATATAACTGCCTAGAGACAAGTAATGCAAGGATGTGGCAGCAATATCCAATAATAAACAATCACACACAAGGACTGACTCTCTATTGAGGGTATGTGCCCCATTAGCATAGTACTATGACACTCAGCCCTACTTCAGAGGTGCACTCTCCCACTCTCCTCACTGAAAGGTTGAGTTTCTGACTGGAGGCTCTGGAATTTGCTCCTTGGTCCCAACGTACAAGCCACGAAAAAGCAAGCATTCAAACTTACAAAGCACCAACCAAAAGATGAGATACTGTAGAATTTTACCGCAACCCCAAAAATATGTGTGAATAGCCTGTGACTTACCAGAAAAGTTCATTCTACATAGATGTAATAGTTTTATATTGATACAATCCTCTGTTATGTATGGTGTTAAAGTAATATATACATATACATTGATATGTAATTTGAATATACTTCCTCCAACTGGTTTCAGTTTATTCTATCACAGTCAGTGGAGTAAATGTAATGTTCTAAAACATGTTGAGCTTTATGTATACTTAAGTGGAAAAAATTGAAATGGAAAAATACAATAATGCAGACAATCACAAATATATGTCTGTCAAAAGAAGGTATGAATGCAGTTATGCTTAATGTTATGCAAATGGCACCTATGGCCGCGCAGGGTGGCTCACGCCTATAATCTCAGCACTTTGGAAGGATGAGGGGGTGGTTTACCTGAATTCAGGAGTTTGAGACCAGCCTGGCCAACAGGCAAAACCCCATCTCTACTAATACAAAAAAATTAGCTGGATGTGGTGGTGGCTGCCTGTAATCCCAGCTACTCCAGAGGCTGAGGCACAAGAATCGCTTGAACCTAGGAGGTGGAGGTTGCAGTGAGCTGGTATCACGCCACTGCACTCCTCCAGCCTGGGTGACAGAGCGGGACTCTGTCTAAAAAAAAAAAAAGACTTGTGACGTGGAATAAAACTGAATGACAGCATCAGACTTGAATTCAGAAATGTTTATATCTCAATATATCTCAGAAGTAAATATACTTTGGAAAAAGACAAAATAAGGCTCTGAAAATGAAGATATTGAAGGTGAAGTGAAAGGTTGAATAAAATTGTTTACTGAAATATGAACATTAAAAAGGCAGTATATTTCTAAATCAACATATTGAGTAATTTTTATTTTACAAGTTTGTGCAACTCAATTAATACAGTAATTACCAAAATAGGTGCCTGATTAGTATAGATATCTACATATCTTAACTATATATGCCCAAATTATTTGAAAATATTTTTAATATTTTCTCACTTAAAAACAGATGCATCACATTTTATATTGTTTCTTCTCTTTGGGCATATACTATAAGAGAATAAAAGTAAATATACCTCTACTGCCTCTCTCTCTCTCTCATCAGTAAGACAAGAATATTGGAGATGGTCACAAAGAGGAAATAATTACTATAATTAATTTACTTTTTGAAAACTCTTGCTTCAACTTTGAGGGAGTTTACTGCTAGAAAAATGAAGATTTAAAATTAAGAAACTTGCCTAAGACCTCAGAGCTAGTAGGGTATTTGTACTTACTTCTAATTCCAAAGATCGTATTAAATATAAACTTGTATATATTACATTTTCAATGGTAATGTCCCCCTTCAAATTAGGATGGAAATGGGGGAAAGATAAAAACAAAGCTTGTGAAAAACCCACCAGTACAACCTGCTGGTTGTAAAGAGAAAACCTTATGCCTCTTAAGGTAATGAAATTTTAAGTTTGTGTCTGTGTATACAAGTATGTATCTTTTTATTCATGTGTTCAACAACAGGATATTTTAGATGGTTTTATAATTACTGTTAGGAAAAGGTCAAAATAACAACTGGATATGTGTACATTTCAGTTTACTTCGGTAAATCTAGAGAGATAATCAGAAGTTAGTTGGTGTACATAAGCCAACTGTAAGCATATTATGCTCCAGTTAGCATTGAACTAGCCAGGGTGCTCAGATTAATGCTTAAAAAAACAGTAAAAACTTTACGTTTTGTTGATGTGGGGTTAACTTTTATTAGCTATATCCTTTATATGAACTTATATTTTAATGAGTATTTCCTCAAAGCAATTTCATCATTTCTTGGTTGTATTTTGTTTTTATACATATAAATCTCCCTTCAATGTTAAGAGAAATATTGCATTGAAGCATCAAATTTAAATGGTTCATAAAGTTAAAATAACCATATTTTAAAGCTGCAAGCAATGTAAACAAATCTAGAGAAAACCTAATCTTTTGGAACAGAGTGCAGGAATGAACATACCATTAAAACAACAAACAAACAAAAAACAACAAACAAAAATCAATAAAACTTGGCAGTAATTTTTCAGTATAGTACAAGGGTTTGGAGCACTATTCGCATCATGCAATGAACAAGGTAAAAATACTTATTGTTCATTGAGGGGTGTCAGATTTTAATGCAAGGATTGAATAGTTTATGTTTCTCATTTAGCAAATACGAAAAGTGACAGTAATAGGGGCCAAACTGACTTCCAAAAAGAGAAACAAGGAGCATTAAAGATGTTGCATGACCATGAATATTTCCCTTTTTAAACTGTAAAGAATAATGTATGTATCCCGAGGTCAGAAATAGAGCAGAACACAATATATTAGAGGACACTGGCTTATCTAGGACATCTGAAAACCTGAGACATTAGGTGAAATTCAACATCAGTGTTAATACAGTCGAAAGAAAAATTACATTCATTTCAAGAGTCAGCAATACAGAAATCATTTAAAGAAATAGTATAAAATAGAAAGAGCAATTGCCATGTACTGTGAAACAGTATCGGCTTAGATTATAACTTGTCTTTCTGTTCTACCAAGTATCATCTTCCCTAATATTTCAGTCTTTTAAATAGTTTATACAATAATTAACACACCATTGTTATTGGAATGATTCTCCTTGAGTACTTTATTTTCTGTGTTCAGATTTAGGGTTTCTCCTTTCTTCCCATTTCACTCCTTCCCTCCCTCCTTTGTTTCCTTCCTTCTGTGATTATTTACAAGACAGGGAAAAGAATAACAGATTGTTGTTTTTTCCCTAAAACAAACTCTATTTGAATATATTTGATCAACTGTTAGTCACAGAATTCACAGCATTCACTTCTACTTGGTGTGGGCTCCTTTATGCTGGGAAATTTGTGAAAAGTGGAAAAGGAATGTTTCTTTTTAGTTCCCTCTTAACTGTCAGCTCCATGGAGGTATAGCCCATGTATACTTTGTTCACCACTGCATTCCCAGGATTCAGAACTGTGCCTGGCACTGTGGATCTGGAGGTTCTTAGGGAGGGGGAGAGAAGGAAAAGAAAAGCCTGACGGAGCCTGAATCAAATACACTGAGTTGTCCATCTTACCGTCATTACTAGCAATGGTCTATACACAGGCCAGTCAGACCACACTCAGGCTTTCTCTTTCTCTCTCTTTCTCTCTCTCTCTCCAGGGCATTCCTTGATATTCAAATACAGACCAAACTTGGGGTAGTTGAGTGAGTGGCAGTTGCAAGAGTGAGTTTCAGTGGTTTTATTCTATTTGCACTTATGGATAACACAGAATCTCTTTTAGAAGATTGATGGGATGTGCCATGAGAAGTATATACTCAAAACCTAGTGGTGATCTCTACTCAAATTTACCTATCATAATTCCCCCTAATTAATTGATACCTTAGAATGTTAGGGAATCTTACCTCTGGAAGTAGTGTTATATTCCCTTCTATTAAAAAAAAAAAAAATCTTCAACGTGCTAACATTGTGCATTACTTTAGTGACGTATACCTCAAGTAACTTGCAAGAAGTTTCTTCTTTTTCCTCATAACCACGCTGTTTCAGAAATAAATAAGCCATGTCTATTATAGAACAGGTACCACTTCCTGGGGTTTTTCCTTGGGTGGTAATCACTACCTTGCATACCCCTCCTCTCGCTCCTTCTCTTTCTGATGAATTCCTAAGAGTTTCAAAGTCTCTAGAGAGACTGCCAATTCCTCAATGAGCAGATTCATAGTCAACTGACTTTTATGTTCTTCCTTTATGCTAATCAGTACCTTGACAATAGATACACTGATTGATCCTTTTATTCAAAAGTATCCATTCATTCAAAAGTAACAAAAGTATGGTGAACAGTCAAATTAATAATGAATTACAAATCCATTCAAAATTCCTTCAAAAAACTTTTGAAAAAACATATGCCTACATCTTGGTCAAACCACTTAACAGCTGATTTACTTTGGACAAATCACTTGACATGAGTTTCAAACATATATGTAAAACAACTACTTGAGAGAGTTGTTGTGAGGATTGTTATGATACACAAAAACCTTACGATTCAATATGCAGCACATATTAAGTGATCAATTCATGATAGATCCTTATCCAGAGTAAACCAATTATTGACAATTCAGTCAACATTTAAACAGGCAGTTAACAGTCCACATGTTAACTGTCTTGATATCTAAGAATGTTAGGGAACCTTACCTCTGGAAGTAGTGTTAAATCTCTTCTATTAAAAAAAAAAAAAAAAAAGGCATCTTCAATGTGCTAACCTTGTGCATCACTTTAGTGATGTATACCTCAAGTAACTTGCAAGAAGTTTCTTCTTTTAGTGATATCATGCCTGAATGAAGATCTTACCAGTGGCAGGAGGGGCAGATGTAGAATACAGATGCTTGATACAGGTACATCATTACCATTTAGAAAGTTGCAGTCAGGGCCTGGAATTAAGTGAGGGGAACAGAGACACAGAGTCAGGGGTTGGGGAGGTGGAGAAGGACCAAGTTCAGTTGCTAAAATTGTGGATTTGGGTATCAGTATTCAGTCTGCCCTGCATTTTCCAACTGCTGGTTCCTCAGCTCCATACAAAATCTTAACAGCGTTACTCAAAGACCTAAGGAAAAGGGTTATGATAAAATTATCCCAATCATAAGACAAGTTGCTTTTAGCTTTTTATTTTTGTATTAACAGGAGTCTTATTATACATAGGTCTGATAAAACCGGTTTACGATCTTCACTCTGTTTCCAGTGCTGCATAACTGGATAATGTGTGAAGGAAAAACAATGACGAACAAAAAAACTAATTGCTTGGAAGATTTAGCTGAATCTATCCATGAAAACAGAATCAATTAAACATGTATGCGTTACTTGGACTACATACAAATAACCCATATAAATGGTAGCTCAAACATCTCAAGTGTTTCAGAGAATGTTAGAATCTATTGTTTAAAGTGTCTATCGTCGTCTACGCAAAAATCCAAAGTCATCTGGATCTTTAAAAATTACATGGATAATTTTTCTTCCAAAATGAAGTGAAATCATGATTAATCAGATATATTAGACAATTTGGTCGACATTTAAATAAGCGGCTAATAGCCCACATATTAAGTGTCTTGATATCTTAGAATGTCAGGTACCTTTGCCAGGCGTGGTGGCTCATGCCTGTAATCCCAGCACTTTGGGAGGCCCCGGCGGGCAGATCACGAGGTCAGGAGTTCGAGACCAGCCTGACCACTGTGGTGAAACCCTGTCTCTACTGAAAATATAAAAATGAGCCAAGCATGGTGGCGCGCACCTGTAATCCCAGCTATTCAGGAGTCTGAAGTAGAAGAATCGCTTGAACCCGGAAGGCAGAGGTTGCAGTGAGCCGAGATTGCACCACTGCACTCCAGCCTGGGCGACAGAGTAAGACTCTGTCTCCAAAAAAAAAAAAAAAATGTTAGGTGCCCTTACCTTTGGAAGTGGTGTTATACTGCCTTCTGTTTATGTTTTTTCCTAAATTAATACATGAAAACTTTTAAAATTTCTGATCAAAGTTAATCAAGCCAAATGAAGCAATTCAAAAATTATCATTAATATTTACTCACTTATAATTGTGATATACTTTGTATACCAAGAATGCCTAGGATATTTGATGATGTACAGAAATCACTGCTGAACAATGATGCCAACCAAAAGTAAGTGGTGGAGGAGGTTCTTCTTTGAATACATTTGCAGAGGGCAATGTAGCAAGACCTGGGAATTCTGATACAAGGAAGGATTGTCCCATTCTTGTCAGGCATTTATTAGTTATTCTCTATGTAAAAGGACAATCAAATGTCTAATATTTTGGTGTTTACACCGAAACATACATATTCTTGCATTATCTCTTTGTTAAAATTTAAATTTTAAATTAAATTCTACAAATTAAATTTATGCAGATTTAGCTGCTTTCTCCTGAGCAGATTTTCCTATTTCCTATTCCCTCTGAATTTTCATTAGAGTAAATTAAACTCTGAATATGGCCTTTTCATTTCATCCTGAGTAAATCTATGTTGTCTGAAAATTTAAAAAGCCAATTACCATTATATTTGTTATTATTGTCAGCAAAATTAATAAGTCCTTTCGAAATTTTAAAATGTCAATCCTATTATTTTAATGAAAGCATTTATCCCAATTAGGCCTATGTATGGGGAAGTTAATGTAGAAAAAGATGGATTTTACAGATGAGAAATTTTATAATTATTTCTTTCAGAAGTGTCAGATAGTGATAATCCCTCTTTTAATTATTTTAAAGATAAGAACAAAAATAAGAGTAGAAGCTACTTAAAATTTTCCTAGATCACCCTAAGAGTGCAGGACCTGGGAATGTGCTGGGAGAGTCAATCCCCTGGGGAATTCAGTTTCTAAGGCAGGGATCTCAGGCACCATCACATGCATACATATCCAATGGATGTGTCACCCGCTCACCCATACATAACATTCCTTACAGGACAATCTGTGAGTAGACGCTTTCTCCAGCAAACTTTCTATTTTAGAATTAACTAAATAGTAGGGTTCATGTCTAAAATTTTCCCTTGGGGTGGGAGTAGGTGAATACACAAACAGGCAAATACAACTGCATTGCCACGTGGGAGTGAAAGCTAGGATACATTGTAAAGATCGTTTTGGTAAGCCTGTACCTTTATTTTGCTCTCAATGGCATGTTCCCATATTCATTCTCAATGTAACTCATTTTTTTTCATTTTTTGTTACTCTTCTTCCTCTATTACTCTACATACTCCATTTGGCCTTCTCCTGCCTACAAGTACACTTTTGTATTGTCTGTACAATGTTAAAATAAAGGAAGCAGTAGTTTCTGCTTTCTGGTTTGCTACCTGCACACAATTGTAATTCCTACCTTGATCAGATCTAATACTGCTGACAATCCAGACTTTTTATATGTGATCTGATTCAAGATCACATATCCTAGGAATTGAATGTAAACACTGAGACTCTGACCAATAATAAAAATAGTGTTATCACCCATATAGCATGCAATATTCATGTAGATATCATCCAAGTAGCATTTTATATGCTTGCTGGTAACTCTGAGATAGAAAGAATAATCTTTCTTGAGAATAATAGTGTAGATTCAGGTCTTCGGTGCCCTCTCAACCTACATTCACATGAATTTCATTCATTTTGACATTATGAGGGACGATCATGAGAGATACGGGAAGGAAGATGTGGGGGAGGGGGGCAGCCTCCATTCACACTATAATGGAAGAAAAATGACAGCCCAGTTAGGTTTAGCTGGAATGTAACATATCCACAGCTTTATCACTCTGGAGGCACATTTTGCCATAACAAACTACTGAGGAAGAACCACTTTTATCTAGGTCAGAATGACAGACTCCCAAGTGTTAGAGAGCTTGAGGGAACTACGGTTTGAAACATCAGGAAGAAGACTGCAATCTGTACAGAGATTTTCATCAAGTCTCGACACTGCCTTACGTTTTCATCCAATACATTGTAATTACTCCACTGGCTTATAATGGCAAAGCATTCTGATTTCAGATCCTACCAAAATAAAATAAACCACACTTTATGACGACTACATTTATAATAAGATGCAGATGGTAAAGGAAACAGATGCCTCTGACATCATCTCCCATTTGCTTTCAACTTTTGCAGACACTGGCAGTCTGTAAACTCATTCAAAGGGATGCAAGATAAGTCAGGCAGTTTTCCAATTCAGTTTCCAGTTTAAAAAGACACTGCAGTGGCACCACTTTGAGTCACAGAGTGTTAATTCCAGAAAAATGAATTTGATTCTAAGTCTGTGTCAGTCTTTACTGCAAAATTAATCATCTGGGAGGAAAATGCCCCACAATATTGGGAGTTTAGCAATTAGTAACTACTGATTGTTTTGCTTGATAGTGACAGAAAGGACAGGGTAGGAGAGATGTGATGGTGAACAGCTATAGCTTCAGGGAGGATAAAAAGTGAAAGAAGAGTTTTAAACATACAACCATGTCTAAAATGATCTACCAGCCCTTGGCACCCAGATTTTTCAAAGACTTGTTCCTTATTATTTCTAAGTAAAATACTTTAAAGAGGCTTTTAAAGTTAGTTTCTGACCTCAGAAAAACATATTCATTCTGTATTTCCATCTGTATTTCCCAGAAGAAATCCTACAGTTTTGATAGGAGCTTTCACCATTTCCTCAGTGATATCACTGCACATTATACACAGTAAAAGAAATTCTTTTCTTTTTGTGCAAGGTAAGTGTGTCAGAAGACCTTTTCAAAAGGATAAGGAACTTTTGTAGTCCATCTTGAAAGCAAGAGATGCGTGGTAAAGCAGCAATTGCAAGGCCTTTAGCAGTGTTTGAGGTCTCTAGATAGATTAGCACAGTTACAGATGAAGGAGAGTTAGACAAAAACCTTTAAAATGTTCCCCATCTCCCCTGATCCCCATGATATAACTTCATCTACCACTCTGTAGCAGAAACTTTTTAGCAGACAAAATTTTCAGAAACAAAGGCAAGGGAGGTAATGACATAAAAATAAATCCTGCTAGGCCAAATATGGTGCCATTTTTTAAAACAATCTCTCTGTGCAAATAACACTGAACACACACACGCGCGCGCACACACACAAGAATAAACAAACTCTTCTGATTCATATCCACAAAGTGGGTTAGGAAGTATTATTAGTGCAAATTTCTGCTGACCTGCAGCATTTAGTCCATAAACTTTGGATATCCTAGGCGATCCATTAGTGTCCAGCAGATGTTTTCAATTAGTTTAATTTCATCTCTAGGCAAGTTCTGTTTCCAAACATTAGTATTAGTTGGTGATATTTCCCCTTCATAGGGAAGGTAAAAAAGGTTTGTAGAGGTGGCAAACAATATTTGGTTTAAACTAGCAGGAGACAAAGGAATTCCAAGAAAGGCAAAAATCCTTTCAGTAGTTTTCTGAGGAAAATGCACAATATCTTCAAACTTGACCAGCTGGTAGCTAGTAGGCAGCAAATCTGTATTTATTCTCAAGGCTGCTGCTGTATTTGCCAGCCACAAGTGAGACAACAGAGACACTGCATTTGATTTGGATTTTGATAATTCTTTCCTCAATGGTTCATACTCGAAAGCATAACCCGAATTTAAGTTACATTTGCCTTTACCTCCCTCTATTTTAAACAATTTTGCTAAATGCTCTGGTACATTCTTCAAAGAATAAAGACTTGGTTTACTATTGTATAACATTGAATAAATCCATGCCCGAGGGTCTCTTACTATGTACAATGCCCTCATCGAAGCTCCTAAAACTTCTTGAAAAAAATGAAGCTTTAACGTCCAGCTCCCACTGCTTAAACTGAGCACAGGACGTGCACTTGGGTAGTAAACCAGGTGTCTCCTCAAAGCCCTAATATATTCAGCATCTCTATCAAAGGCGCCTTTCATTTGACTTCTTTGTTCTGGCAAAGACTCTCTCCTTTTAAATTTTCTTTTTTTGTCCTTATTCATTGCAATATATTGGGCCAGTTTACCCCTATTGGGTTCATGCAGATGGATGTTTTGCAAATGTAATTTTGTGTCCTGGACTAAAGACTGCAACCAGCCTCGGAGTAAACGAAAATGCCCACTGCGGATATCTGACACCTTCCATTCACAAGCATCTACAAATGAGTCGATTTCAAACTCAGTTTCAGGAATATCAATGTAGGCCGTAGGAACCCTGATGTAGAGAAAATCACTACTGTTGAAAAAAAGCTGTTTGAGAATTTCAGCTCCTGAACCAGGAAGTGAGGTAATGACAACATCAGGAAGATCCACGTGGTGTCCTTCAGAAGACAAAGACTTCTTGCTTCCCTCGGCCTCTGTCCTTGTCCATTTTGCACAAATGGGCTGACTACAAGTGCTCCACACATCCAGAAGCTCAATAAACCACAAGGCAATAACCAGAATTAGTATCCATCTCATTAGTTTTCTAAAAGAAAGGTAAAAACGCCATTGGAAAGTTAAAATCACCAAGCTAATGCACAAAATTAATCCAACTGCTATATTAAATTTAAATCCAAATGGGAAAATAATCCTATCATGTCTTACAGGCTTTACTATTGCTTGAGTGCCCAAACCAAATCGGGTTATTTGGCCTTGATCAGCCACACTGGCAAAGCCACAGAATCCCAGATAATTGAATCTTGTCTTCAGGTTATGGTAATCAGTTACAATAGAAACAACATGTTCGGTATTATTGACATTGAGAGAAATCTGAAGTCCAGAATCGGAACTATCAATAAATCTGCAGCTGGAAACATTGATATATGGCCCATAAAAGACATATGCAATTCTTGTGATTGCGGATTCCATCTGAAAAGTAACATTAACAAATTGAGTCCACCGTTTTTTAAATTCAGCGGCTTGCTCTGCTTCCTGTATACTGGCCATGGGACTATTGCCATGATGATCAAACCAAAACATTTTGTAGTGTGCATCCCACACATCCATCATGGCACCATTATACCTATTCATAAACTTATATGGGATATATTTAAAATCAATATCCAAATTATGAAAGAAGGCACTGACAGAATTTATTGGGGAATCTTCTTGCCTCTCAATATGATCAACAACTAGCAGAGTTTGGGAATTTAAGAGAAGCAAAGCACGATATACACTTTTCAGTCTCATCGCTGAAGAATAAGCAGACACGGCTTCCCCACTCACAAATATCATTTCCCCATGTTGAGAGGCAGTGATGATTTCCCCAGCTGCATCACCAACCTCCTCACCAGTCCACTTAAGCCACTGTGCACATTCTCCCAGTTGACCTTCCCAGGGCTTATTACACTGGCTTGAGGGTGATGGAGCAAACACCAATACATTGTTAAGGTGGCTCAACTTGGGTCCATAGAGAGCTTCAGAAACAAACACTTGTCCATTGGGGGCAAAAGTAAATGAGTTCTGATCTGGATGCTCATGTCCTGGGTTAAAGCTTCTCCACCCATCAATCCAGGAATATGGCTGAAAATGAACTATGTCATACACAGCTCGTCCTCCCAACTTCCCAGATTTAAAAGACACAAAGGTATTGGTCTGTGTGTTTGGCAACCCAGCCCCATAAGTAACCACACCCCAGTTAGGAAATGTGTGTATTTTTGCAGTACCATATTCAGCAGGCGGCTGTGGTGTGAGCTGGGGATCATACCAGATGTATTCGGTGTGAAGAGTACTCCACCTTTGGGCAGTTGAAGGAACCATCGGTCCATCTTTAGGTCGGTGCTTTCTAATTTGCTGAGCTAACCAATTTCCAGCTCCATTCTTTAAGATGAACTTGTCCAAGAAAACTAGCTGGCTCTCTGGACCATAAAACCAATTATAATTGGAATCTGCTATACCCACAGTTCTTTGGAAGCCAGGTAAAAGGGTGGCATAATAGAACCAAAAGTGCATCTTTAACCAGTTATTATCCAAGTTGTTGATATTAAAATGGCGCTGGGCCAGAAAAACATACTGTGTGATGGATTTAGCTGTGTAGCTTCCATAGGCCACACCTTCATCCAAAGAACCATCAACAATATGATTCAATAGAAACATTGTCTTTTCCATTACATCCACTACAGCCTGTTTCCATATATTTGCTTTAGATCCTTTATCTACTCCAGTTACCAAGGCCCCTGTGAGTAATGCTATCATATTAGTGGCTTGGTGGTTATGGAGAAGCTGTTTGCCCCATGAGCGGACCTTGGAATATTCATACATTTCCTCAGTAATAACCCATATTTTTTCCAGGTATTTTTGTCTTCGATGATTATCTAATAAGTTACATAAAAAGTCAAAGGCAGTGGCAAAACCTGTTAAGGAATGGCCAATTGGAACCTCATCTCCTGGTGCATTCTCTACTAGCCAGTCTTTGTAGCCAACCATCCTGTCCATATATTCCAAGACAAATTCAAAGGCAACTTTGTCTTCTGGGCATAACAAACAGTACAATGCTAAAGGAGGAAGATTGTTACCATAAATTTCATTCCACTTGGCAGCAAAATCAGCATGCTTTGGTGGAGGTAGGTAGTACGTTGGGTTGGACAGCATAACTGTCACTGCACTTCTGATAGCTCTAAAAAGATGCAAATGGCTTGTGCGAGACTTTTGTCTCATTGCTTGGATTTCTCCAGCATCAAAATATAAACTTGGATGAAGCATACTTTTCTTCAGCTTTTGGTTGGGTCTGAAATCTTGCACTTTCTGTGTTTTAAACTGATCTATATCATCTGCAAAAACTGCCCATTCAGAGTAATTGCTCACAGATTCCTCAAAAGTAGATAAAGCAAACATCAATAATACTAAGAATAATAAATGTCCTGTAAACATTAACGCCATGATCCATGGGGGAGCTCCTCCCTTAGGCATACATGTCAGATATGATGCTGAATGTGTTTCCCATCTGGTTAGTATAAAACATACAGTAAAGGCCTTGATAAAACAAAGACTGTAAATCTGATATGCTGTGAAATCCAGCTGACATTCAGTACATTCTAAGCAAGTGCAGTTGCCAGAAAGAGAAAACTTAAATTGTGTATCTCTGTCCCTGGCACAGTTTTGCTTCCAGTAAAACTTCGAAGAACGTTAAAATTTCTAATTTTTCCATAATACACAGGGAAGTGGTACAGTTAAAAAACACTATGAATTTAGCATTTACTTCCTTTACTTAAATCTATTTAACACAAAGACTTGGAACACACATCGTTAAAAAAAGAGAAAAAGCACTCCAAAATTCAAATTAAGAGTCATTTCTAACATAGAAAACCATCACTGGTGATAAGTTCACCACACATGTATGATGCATTTGTGTATGTTTGCCCAAAGAAGATGATAAAGTACTGACATTCTTCGAGTGAGTGGACTCAGTTGTCATTCCTCTCAACGTTTTATATTTCTTGTCTTGTGAATGTTTTTCTTCCATTTACGAGAAAGAAACATCCTCAACAAGTGATCAAAGTCTTAGTTGGTTTTTAAAAATTCAAAATTCCTGCCTTCATTTCAAATATTTTTCAGGCTTACTTACTCATCAGCCTATTATGACAAAGAGAAACCATGTTCATATCTTCTTTTATCAGCTTCATGTGTATAACCATAAAAATGCAATCTCTTCAGCCACCTAGATACTTCTCGTCCAATCATGAAGTAACCGCCAACTGGGAAAGAAAATTCCCCTTTCAGCAACAGTGAGGTCTCGCTTCTGTTCTTTTTTCATGACACTCTTTTCTGGGGGTGGGGGACAAAACAAAAATTCTCTGAGGCTCCAGGTATGCTGAGAGTGAACATAAACTGATAGCTTAAACATTCTGCAATCACTTGATAGAAATTTTAGAATCACAGTGAAATCTCATATTATCTGCAACCTAAGCTAGGGCAAGGGATTTTTTTCTTATCCATTTAAATGCACTTATTTGGAACCCAATGACCGTCAGCAAACGACAAGCAACTAATAATACAAAATATACAAGATTGAATTCTCCCGACAATATGTATAGTTTAACGCCACCAAAGTGTCTTTAGTCACTTAAAAAAACTGTTTCTATTCAAATGCAGTTTACAGAAAGATGAGTCCTACTATCCTTGTTATTCCTTGTTCCCAAGGACCGAGGGACAAAAAACTAAAAGTTGAAAAGACCTTTATTTTAAATTCCGGGGGAAGGTTTAGCTTTCATGGGATCATAAGGTATCTTCCTAATGAGAACTACTCGGACCAGTCACTTTTCTCGGTGGGGGAACCGCGAATCGTGACCAGGCGCCAGGCCTAGGGGCGGTAGCTCCGTGCCTGGCGCTCACCTGTGGCCGCGTCTCTGTCCTCAGGCGGAGCCGCCAGAGGGAGCTCGGACCCCGGTGTCGAAAGACGCCTCTCCGTGCCCGTCCGCGGCTGGAAGAACCTAAGCAAGTTTCAGTCTTGGACAAGTCTCCCCTCTGTAGGAAACATTCAGGCTAGGAGTTTCCTGATCCGCCCCGCCTGTTGCATTTTTTCACTGGCGTCCTCCGACCCTGCCGCCCCCATGCTCCGCTCCCCGCTCTGGGGCTGAGGCAGGAGGGCTAGAGACCCCTGAGCCACCAAATTCGCTTACCTCAGGCAGATCCCGACGGGGGCTCAGCGCCGCACTGGGCCCCAAGGGAGGCGCAGGCGGAGAGTTCCAGAAAACTGCTCTGCACGGAGGGCCAGGCTCCCGCGGGGCTCCGCGAGACCCCCGCGCTCCGACAGGCGCTGCCCCAGCTCGGTCTCCTCAGCCGCGCTCGGTCCCCGCGCCCCGCACCGCCCGGACACGCCCGCCCTCAGGAAACGCTGGACGCTCGTGGGGGCAACCCCGGATTGCAGGACAGAGACCAGCGGGCGGCGGGCGCTTTCGGTGGCGCCGTATCCAGCGCAGCGCCCGCGTCCCCAGGCGGTGGTGTCGCCGCGGCCGCCGATGCTCTGTGCCAGCTCCGGCCGCGCGGCCCGGGGAGCGCGAGAGACGGCGACGCGGGCCGGCAGGCAGGGGCGGGGCGGAGACAGGACGGGGCGGGGCTGAAGGCGGGGCCTCAGGGAAGGCGAGAGACAGAGACGCGGGCTGGCGGGCGGGGGGCGGGACGGAGACAAGACGGGGCGGGGTCAGAGGCGGGGCTTCAGGGAGGACGGGAGGAGCCGTGAGCAGGCGGGCGGCGGGCGGGGCGGGGCCCACAGCAGGTGAGGCGGGGCCAAGCGCCGCGGGTTTCTAAGCGGAGGAAGCTCTGGGCGTTTGCGTTCTGGTCTTGCAGCGGTGGCCGCGCGCTCCCTGAGGAGTCGAACTGGAGGAGGGGACAGTTTAGGAGTGCGAGAGTCTAAAGACGCTGCCAGGTTGGCCTTAAAACCTTTTGGTTATCGGAAGAGGACAACTGTATAATAGAGCCATAGTGGGGGCTGTGGGATTGACTCAAATGATGGGAGGAGCTGGAGTGGGAGGGGATAAGCCCTGGGACGACAGAAATCATCCTTTTGGAAAGAGCAAGGGCTGGGGAGGGAGGGAACGAGCAGTCCCTTGGAACTGAGAGGCAGCTTGGCTGAGCTTGCTGTCCTTTGGAAAAGCAAAACCAAAATACTCAGATTAATATGGGAGAACAACTTCTGTAGCCCAGATGCTAACAAAGATCAAGGGAAAACAGAAAAGACTAATCAGGTTTACTGATGGAAAACAATTCCTCAGGCAGTATAAATAAGGGAAGCATGGAACAAACAAGTAGAAGGAGCCTCTTTTAAAAATGGGACCTGGTATTCGGTAAAGACCTACGTGCAGACAGGAGAAGGCAGTGTGCCCCGGTTACTGCGACATGTGAGTGCAGTGCCAGGGCGTGGAAATCCTAGAGCAGGCTGGGACTCCTGTTGTACTTCACATATGGAACTTCTCACAGATAGCTGAGATGACACTTTGGCATAAACCAACCCAAGGTCTGACCTCAAATGTCAAAAATAATAGCTTAGTAGTAATAAAAATACAGGGAAATATCAAGCTTCACAAATGAACAATTTCATTCCCAGTTGGGGATTAGTAACGCGTTCAGTCTCTTCATTTCCCATACTATTTTGTAATATTTAATAGATCTATTTTAACATTTTAAAAATAAATGTCTTGCTTAGATCCTTTACTGATGAAAATCAAACAGTAGACGACTGTTAGCAGAATAAATTTCAAATCATTTAACTTTGAGGTGAAATGTGGCCTCTAACTCCTCATCACTCTTCTACTTTGGCCCATAGTAACCCTAGCCCAGTCCGAATGGCCACGCTTGCTTTTGCTTGGGCGCTTCAGTAACTATGCTTATTCCATTCCTTCCCTCACAGGGTCCTTTACCCAACCACCCCACTTACTACTTACAATTTTTCTGACTGTTGAAATTATCTGATCATCCTTGCCTCAATTCAGATGTTTACATTCTTCTGTAAATAACTCCTGAGTTTCTCTAGCCAGAATGTATTGCTCCAGAACTGTATCATTTGTACCTATATTCGGCCCTTTAGGTTGTATATTTTCTGCTTTCTCTTTCAACTGGTTGACTCCTGTACCCTGTTCAAAACTCCTTCGAGTCATGAGTAGCGCTCAAGTCCCCTTTGTAAGTACTATATCTCCTTTGAAATGAGTTGAACCTTTAACAATTGGGCTGATACAGAGCCTCGTCTCCTCCACTGAGGTTCATTCCCAAACAAAGATCCTCTTCTGACACAACTTCCTGTAAAATCTGGATTGTACCTCTACATGGTCCCTGATAGAGGAAGAGGACCCATGGCCTCCAACCTCATTTATGAGAGAGTAGAGTTGGGGGAGAGGGGGAGTTCACTCCAGAGATTCCTATCTATTTGCAGAGGGGAGCCTAGAATTCAGGGTTAGTAAACATAGCTAGTAGATGTACAGAACATTTCTCAGAACAAAGTGTGTGGGTAGGGTTATTTCTATGGATCCAAAGTGTATCATGATGCAAGGGCAAGGTGAGTCAGAGAGAATTAATGCATGAACATCTGCCAGGCAAATATTCTTCCAATATTGTTTTCAGATTTTGAAATATCAATATGATCATTTTCACTTTACAGAAGAATGAATTCAGGTACAGACATTGTGGCCTTTCAGCTCTGCCCCATGCATCTGTGCTGAAGCAGTGGGGATGCAGCTAGCCTCCCAGCGTTCTCAGATGAACTTTCAGACAAATTCATTTTGAACAGACATCTTTTCATAGTGGTAAAATATGAATGCATTAAAATAAAACAAGAGCCACAACTGAACAATTCAAATCATTGGCAGAAAGGGTGGTAGGTAAATGGCACTATTAAAAATGAAGAGAGTCTTGTTTCCTGTGAACTAAAAATGGATAGCTCCAATTATTGCTCCTTCCACACATGAAGATGGTACAAAGTTAGTTAATTATAAATAATGCATCTGACCATAGAAGGGATGCGCTATATGCTATGTTATTGTACATTAAAAACCTTTATGAGTGTGGCAAGAGACACATGTACCAACAGCTGCTAAATTCAGAATCCTGGAGCAGTATCTTATTTTAATGTAAGTGAAGAACAGTGCAGTCTATTGCTCTGGGGATTTCTTTCTATATAAAAGGATCTTAAATCTACATGAGGTTTTACTCCGTGATTTCAAAGTACTTATGAGAATCTGTTTTCTTTATTTGCCTATCTTTCAACCTACCCGCAACCACCTATCTTACAAGAGAAACAGTGCTTTCTAGAACAGATTCTCCAGAATAGAAGCCTTTCTCGTGCTCCTTCCCTTCCTTTCTTCCTTCCTTTCTCTCTCTCTCTCTCTCTCTTTTTTTTAATTCTTCTTTTTAAAATTTTACTTATCCAACATCTATTCCAGAGCCTGGCACTTTTTATTAAATGTTTGGTGAATGTTAAACATGAATTATCGTTCCCATTTTATGACAGAAGAGAAAAAGTCATGAAGGTCTAAAGTAGGTTACTTCATTCTAAGCAGAGTCACACACTCTCTTGACTGTGCTGAGAAGCTTCTTACCGCACAACCCATAATTGGAGCTATGCCTTGAGGTGACTTAGTTCAAGTGAAACATGAAACTGGAAGTCATACATTTTCAAGAGAATTTCTGCATTAATTGTGTATGTCAAGATAGGCAAATTCAAGCTCTGGGCCTGAGAACGATAAAGTACAAGCCATAAAACAAGCCTAGACACTACATAAAGTCCCTGATCTAAAATCACATTTGTCCATGATCTGTTATTCTGGTGGTTTTTAAATAAATGGGGCCAAGACATTCAAGAACTAGTTGCTGTGCATTCAGCAACTCATATGCACAGGTCTCCAATACCTGGGCTTTTATGCAGTATAGCCATTTGAATATGGAGATGGCTTTGTTATTCTTCTCATAGCATAACCCTTCTTTGCTATGGCTTTGGCTGTGAAAGCTCAGATGCAAATTTCTCGAACCACTTACCAGGGCCATCGATCCACTAGCAATATTAGAACTAGTGTCTGCCCCAGAGGTTAGGGATATAGCAGCTGTGACTGTTTAGAAACAGATACCAAACTTAAGCTGCAAATTTTATTGCCCAATTGGCCAGCAGTAATAGGCCACACCAATAATAAAGACAAAACCACAAATTTAAAGCAGGCAGTAGAGTCTGGAAATACGCTTTTTTTTTCTTTTTTCCCCCGCAATTGCTTTGAATACAAAACATCTCAAAATGACAGGGATTTTGCCTGCAGAGTTGCTAATGAAGATGTGGCTGAGAGTGTTTCTTGAGTTTGTTTATCCAGCTGCACAAGAGTCAGTATGACAGTAACTAGATTTATTAAAACTTAAAAATACCAAAGCCAAATTCTGGGGAAAAAAGTTTCCCCATAAGTCTACTAAAGTCTTGAATTCATAAATGAGAAGCTTTATTGCTACCATATTTGCTTACATACTGTTTAGCTTTTGATATGAAAGAAAATTTTAAACAAAGTAAAACTTGCAAAGGGATCATACGATGGTTTCTCCAGGGCTCTTCCACCCTCCATTTCTCCTGGCCTGGTGTCCTTACTCCAGTGTTTCTCAACAGGACATTTGGCAATATCTGGAGAAATTTCAATATTGGTCTTGGATAGTGGGAGGGACTGCTGGAATCTAGTGAATAGACCTCAGGATGCTACTAAATATCCTGCAATGCACAGGACAACTTCCCCTTCCCTCTTGTCTCACAAAACCAAGAATTATCCAGCCCAGAAAGTCAGTTGCTGAGAATGAGAAACTCTAACCCATTTCACTGGCTCTAAAAATTGATTATGTGCAAATTGTTGGTAGTTCAAATCAATTCCTAAATTGTCCACCTGACTTGCCAATTACCTACTTGCAGTTTGTTCTAGAGCCAGCCATTATGGCTAAAATGTACGTGTCCCTCCAAAATTTATATGTTGGAACCAATGTGGTAGTATTAAGAGGTGGAATCATTTGGGAAGTCCTTTTCTCATGAATGACATTAGTGCCTTATAAAAGAGGTTGAGATAGTGCTTTGGTCTCTTTTTGGCCTTTTGGTCTCAGTCCATTTTGTGCTTCCGTAACAATACCTGACCCTGGGCAATTTATAATGAATGGAAATTTATTTCCTCAAAGTTTTGGAGGCTGGGAAGGCCAAGGTCAAGGTGCTGGCAGATTAGGGCCCAGTCTCTCTGCTGCAAAGATGGCACCTGAATGCTGCAGCCTCCAGAGAGGAAGGACATTATATCTTCACATGGCAGAAAACCCACTCTCACAAGCCCTTTTTATAGAGCATTAATCCATTCTTCGTGAACTAAACAGCTTTCTCATTTGGCCACATCTCCCAACACTGTTGCATTGGGGGTACGTTTCTAGCACTTGGACTTTGGGGAACACATTGAGACCACCGCACCCTCCATCTCTTTCTCCATATGAGGACACAGTGTTCCTTTCTTTATTGCCTCTTGCACTATGTGAGGATTCAGCAGGAGATATTATCTTGGAAGCAGAGAGTAAGCCCTTCCCAGACACAGCATCTGCTGGCACCTTGATCCTGGAATTTCCTGCCTTGAGAACTCTGAGAAATAAATTTCTGCTCTGTATAAATTACTTTATCTGTGGTATTTTGTGATAGCAGCAAGGACAGACTAAGATACTAGCTCTTACTAGTTTATTCACAGATGACTTTTTGTTGTTTACCAGGTACTGGGTACATTTTTCTTCATTTGACCTGAGACACTTCTAAACCCAGCTGTCTCACCTCTTATAAAAACTTGATTCCAAGTCTTTGCTATTGTGAATAGTGCCGCAATAAACATACGTGTGCATGTGTCTTTATAGCAGCATGATTTATAATCCTTTGGGTATATACCCAGTAAT